CCCCCCCCCCCCCCCCCCCCCGGTTATTTTGCTCAGCCAGACTGCGGCAGTTATTGCCATCAGTGACCCCCTCATTGACCTCAACTACATGGTTTACATGTTCTATGATTCCATTCACTCTCAAGGCTAAGAATAAGAAGTATGTTATCAATGGGAAACCCATATCCACCTTCCAGAAGAGATAACATGCTAACATTAAATAGGTTGATGCTGGTGGTAAATATGTAGTGAAATTTTCACAGTCTTTACCTTGTAGAAGGCCGAAGTTCAATTGAAGAGTGAGCCAAAAGGGTCAGCATCTCTGTGCCCCTTCTGATGTCCCTGTGATGAGCATAAACTTCAAGATGTATGACAGCTTCCTCAATATTTTCAGCAATGCCTCATGCACTACCATCTGCTCAGCATCCCTGGTCAAGGTCATCTATAACAATGTTAGCATCACAGATTCATGACCACAGTTCATGCCATCACTGCCACTCAGATCATGGATGGCCCCTCTGGGAAGCTGGCATGATAGGCATGGTCCTGCCAAGATTGTAGACAAGGTCATCCCTGAGCTGAATGGGAAGCTCATTAGCATAACCTTCCATGTGCCAGCTCCCAGCATATTTGTTGTAGATCTGACCTGATGTCTGGAGAAACCTGCCAAATAAGACATCTAGAAGGAAGTAAAGCAAATATCAGTTGGCCCCCTAAAGGCCATTTTAGGCTACACTGAGGATCACATTGTCCACTGCAACTAACACTGACACCTGCTCTTCCACTGTGAATGTTGGGCCTGGCACTGCCCTCAATGACCACTTTTTCAAGCTCATTTCCCGGTATGACAATGAATTTGGCTACAGGAACAGAATGATGGACCTTGTGGTCCAAGTGACCTCCAAAGAATAAGAGCTCCTTGGACCAGTAGCCTTAGCAAGAACATATGTGGAAGAAAAATCCATCAGTTGCTCCAAAGTCCCTGTCCCCACACTTGTCCCTTGATAAAATCCCCCTTCTTGACAGTATCCATCCCATACCTCCTGAAGAAAGGTAGGGGCTAAGGGAACCTTACCTTGTCAAGTACCACCAATAAAGTCTGGTGTACCCAAACACCCCACCAAAAGTACAAAACCAACAACAGCTATCATATTAGATATCTGCAGGACAACTTAAGATCTGAAGGTTATCCAGGAAGAATTCTGCATTCAAATTACTTCACTAAAGTCTTAAGCTCTCTAAAGGGACTAAAACTGAAGGATAACTTTGGTTCTTTTATCAGTGCATCTGTAGACTTTGACCTTTCTTTTAAAAAATTGACATGTGAGTGTACATTTAGGTATTTTAAGTTCAGAATATTTAAAGAGACATATGTCCAATTTTTTTGAAGTCCCACTTTAATCTACTTTATGAATTAACTATACTAGCTCCATTTTCACCAAATATCCTACTGAGGGTTTTCCTGTTAAAGAGGCAAAATTATTTGCAGATGTGACTATCTTGGAAAACTCAAGAGAAGCAAATTGAAAACAATTAGAAAAATAAGTGCTTCTTGGTGTATGGGCATGCATAGTATGTTTTTGCAGTGATCCCTACTTTCTATTTATAAATACATGTTTGTCCCATTATTCAGAATAGGAGGGCATGATGGATGGTCACCAGAGAGTAGCAGCAAGAGGGTTTCCTTCTAATAATCACTATTGTTAGAACATGATCACTATTCTAATAATCACTATTGTTAGAACATTGTAATTGCTACAAGAAAACAATACCTTTACTACAAGTTCAGCAGGAAGGCCAGTTAAAAACTAAATTCATCAAAGCCAACAGTTTTAATTAATAACCTGTTATATAATTATAAAAGATGACCATATTCTTAAAGACATAAATTACCAAGGAATGAATGTGTTAGACTTTCCTGAAGAAAACTCTTAGTAAAAACAATAAATGAATATAGATGTTTTAGTCAGCTTTTTTGCTGTTGTGACCAAAAGGACCTGACCAGAACAATTATAGAGGAGGAAAAGTTTATTTGAGGGTTCACAGTTTCAGAGGTCTCAGTTCATAGACAGCAGGCTCCACTCCTGGGGGCTCAAGGTGAGACTGAACATCATGGTGGAAGAGTGTTGTAGAGGGAAGCAGCTCATGTGATGATTAAGAAACAAGAGAGAAAAAACTCCACTCTCCAGATACAAAATATATACCCCAGAGCCACATCCCCAATGAACACTTCCTCCATCCACACCCCACCTGCCTCCAGTTACCGTTCATTTTACCCATCAAGGATTAATTCACCAATTAGGTTAAGGTTATAACAATCATTTATCTTCTTGCATTGTCTCACACATGAGCTTTTGGGGGCCACCTCACATCCAAACCACAACAATAGCTAGATAATAAAAGAAATTAGAGAAGGCTGCAATACCATGAAGAAAGGTATTCTGTTTTTTTTAGTGAGACAAATTATAAATCATATTCTCTCCAATTTGAATTTAACAAAATCCAAATCAAAATGCCTATAGATGTTTTTATTTGTTTATATGTTTCAATTTGGGACTTGGCATTCTAAAAGAATACAAAGATGAAATTTTTGGAGAAAAACCTATTGAGATTTATACTGATGAATAGTGTAGCATACAATAAAACTCTAGTAATTGATATGTAAATTATGAGAGATCAGTGAAAGAGTAGGGAGTCCAGGCTCACACTCCAGTTATAAAAAGAAATGATGAATTGTTCAATATGTGATATTGAAACAATTGGTTATCTGTTCAGCAGAGCCAACACAGTGAAGTTAAATGCATAGTCAAACTACATGCATTAAAATCTAAATTTGCTGCTATTACTAGCTGTGATGTTGAGAAATTATGTAATCTTTCTGT